ATAATAATGAGATATATATATGTAAATTTTTAAGGCACCAAATCTATTTGAAATCAAATGCCCATGACGCATACATGTATATAGTGAAACGCTTCACATGCTGAAGAATTTCGTTACTGAAGCACTTTGATCGGTGGTTTCTGGCATATAGTGCTATCACAGAAAATATGAAATCAGTCATCATCATTACCATTAAAGGTATAGACCAGTTTTGGAAACGCCCCCCTCTCAAAAAATGAAATGGAAGCTCTTAATTATTACCAATCATGTGAAAGAATATGTTTTGACTAATACGTGATGGTACAAATTTTGCCGGGAAACCGCCTACTAATTGATATATTTGGTAAATTATTATATCTATACTATCCGGACCGGATAGATATCGCACACATGTCGCGTAGTCCCATATACATCTTTCTGTGTACAGTGCCTGTAACTTTACCAAGACTGGGCCAAATTGCTAATGATTTTGATGATTCCAGAACCTTGCAGTACACACCGATACTTATATGCTAGATGATCAACCTTTTCTGATCAATTCCACAACGTTTCTTTCACACTGCAATAGCATGACCAGAACTGGTCTTCATCTTTAAGTATGCAAAATGTCGAATCTTTGACGAATACCCTGTGTACCCTACAACTTCGTGCGCACTTGAATGCGATATCCAAATATGGAGTCGTAAACGATTAGTAGTAAACTTCAAACCCTCTAAATGTTATCATCACCCCCCCCCCCCGACCCCCACTTACCCCTATCCACATCGCTAAAAATGTAAAAGAAGTGACCTCCTGTTAAACCCTTTAGTCATCAATGTATTCCTTGAATTCTCTATCAATATGCGGGTAATACGAAGCTCATCATCGCTCTCTAACAGCGTCCATGTTCATTCATTGTCGGCCACAGACAAGTGCCCTCATCTTTACGAGGTGTGCCCCGGGCAACGAACCTGAACCATCCTACAAGCCTCTCCATTCCTCCCTCACCATCTTTCAGCTAAAAAAAAAAAAGACCACGTGACTCGGTCCTTTTGTCGGAGACGAAAGAGGAATCATATAATCGAGTTCTTGCCGCATTTGTTTTCTTTTTTCTTTATAAACCTGGCAGCTGCTGTGTTTTACCGAGAAATGTTAAAAAGAATAAATGGAGATGTAACTCTCATATTTGATTCATACGAATTGGGCCATTGAGTTAATTTGTCAAATAATCTAAAGTAACAAATTTTCACAAAGGTGCTCCATGGAGTCAACTAAGAAACAGCTGGGAGGGGATGGGTAATAGAGAGAAACTGTGGAATAGAAGATAAAATAAAACTGAGGTAGATAGATGGATTTTTAAAATACTATATAGCGAAAGAAAGATTAGGTAAGGGAGAGAGAGAGAGAGAGAGAGAGAGAGAGAGAGAGAGAGAGAGAGAGAGGGGGGGGGGGGGGGGAGGAGAGGAGAGAGAGAACGGAAGGGGGGAGGGGGGGGCAAAGGAAACAAGGAATTTAGTTCCCAGTGCGTGGGCCATAGTCATAACTACGGAGCCCGGGAAGGGACATGGGAAAAATATTTTTTATCGCATTATAACGAGATAATATTTCATGTTAATAAGATAAATATCTCATTAAAAACGATATATATCTCATTTTAATGAAATAATTATCTCATTAAAACGAGATAATTCTGAATTGGCGAATTTATGCACCGTACGCGTATCATACCAAGCAGCTATAACTAGCTACGACTTCGACTTTGCACATTATTTTGGTCATGGCACTGATAAGTGCAATGTGATCGTTTTGATGCCGATTAAAATACTAAGCTTTATTAATAATAATCAGACCTTTTCACTGCCTGAATTTGTCTCAATCAAATGTAATTGAGTCTTGACGGTTGACCCCCCCCCCCCCACTCCGAGAACGGACAGACCCCATGCGTGTTACCAAAATGTCCGGTAAAGGGTACTTTTCGTGCGACAAACTCCGGCCCGAGAATTGTAAAAAAAAAAGGGGTGTATTAACTTTTCACCCGGAGATTTCTTTAAAAAAGGGATGTTTTTTCTTTTTTTCTCTCATCTCTTTGGACTCCTGAGAAATAATTCCGAATTTAGGGGGGGGGGGGGTACATTGAGCATTTTTCATGATTTAGGGGGGTCTCCAAGGCAGGAAAAGCCCGCGAAAAGCCCGCGAAAGGGGGATTCGGAAATGTTGGCAGTCCTCAGATAGGGGGTGCTTTCAAAAAGAGGGAACAAGCATATGCGTACCCTAAATAACACTGAGTGGGGGGGGGGGGGGTGGGGGCCGGGCGGTTGATACACTTGTTATAAAGTCTGTTACTACTCTAGTTGGATGTATCCCCGCCCCCGCCCCCCACTCAGTGTTATTTAGGGTACGCGTATGCATGCTCCCTCCTTTTGAAAACACTCCCCTAAGTCTGGTGTGTAAAGTCAATACGGGCCGGATTTTGGTGCATGAAAAGTAACCCTTTACCGGACATTTTGGGAGCACGCATGCGGTCCCTCCGACCCCGGAGTGGGGGGGGGCAGGGTATGTATCCAAGGCGCACTCTTAATCTTTGTTTGAATTCAGTTCCCCCTCTCGCGCGATCGAACCGCGGAAGCTTCGACATTTCATTAAATTATTAGAGAAAAAAGACATAGTTCGTTGTACCGTTCTCTATTCTTAATCCCTGTCTGAATTCAGTTTTCCCCTCCCGCGCGAAGCGCGGAGCTTTGACGTTTCATTAAATTATTAGAGAAAGAAGACTAGTCGTTGTACCGTTCTCGACTCTTAATAATGTCTGAATTTTCAAACATGTTTCTTTATCTGCTCCTTTTTCTTCTTACGTCCTCTTACTTTTTTCTTTTCTCTCTCTCTCTCTTTATGGCCGGCGTTTGGGGGGGGGGGGGCGATCGCCCCCTGGCTACGCACCTGATGTCAACTGTCAAGACTTAAGTACATTTGATTGAGACAAATTCAGCCAGTGAAAAGGTCTAATTGATAAAGCTTAGTGTTTTAATCGGCAGCAAAATGATCACATACTGACATAGCACCTACCTTTCCACACGTATACGTCAGCGCCATATGACCATGTGGATGTGCAAAATCGAAGTCGTAGCTATCAGCTATATAGCTTGGTATAGGCCTATATGTTGCACAAATTCGCCAATTCAGAATTATCTCGTTTTAATGAGATACATCTCGTTTTAATGAGATAAATATGTAGTTTTAATGAGAAAATTATCTTATTAAAATGAGATATTATCTGGTTTTAATGAGATAACAAATATTTTTCACACATCCCTTCCCGGGCTCAGTACATAACAACACACGTTACCCAATAGGTCAATTACCGATAGGAAAATACATGTAACACGAAAGGGCTGATGATGGTGTTGTTGTTGGTGGTGGTGGTGGTTGTGGTAGTGGTGGTGGTGATGATGATGCTGGTGGTGGTGGTGGTGCTGGTGGTGGTGGTGGTGGTGGTGATGATGGTGATGATGATGATGATGATGGTGGTGGCGATGATGATTATGATGGTGAGGACGAGGAGGAGGAAGGTTATGAGGATGTGGATAAAGATACTGAATACGCAAATACCCACCCAAAAGCTGAACACTGTCTGAGTCCCCTACAATCAAAGTTAATGTACCCTTCACTATTAATCAATGTGTATGTGTGTTCCTCCATACTACTACTACTACTACTACTACTACTACTACTACTACTACTACTACTACTACTACTACTACTACTACTTCTACTACTGCTACTACTACTACTAACATATTGTTCTTCTATAGCGCAGTTCAGGACCGTAGGCCCTCTCAATGAGTTTTCCAATTTACATTAACCTCTCTTCCTACCCCCCCCCCCCCCCCCCCCCATCCCCCTTCCCATTTCTAGCAGCACACAGTCACTTCACTCGCTTGGAGGCCGTATACGCTAACACGTTGATTAGCATGAAAAATAATAATTAGATTGCGATTTTGCTGAAAGCGAAGTAAACAATGATGACGGTGGCGATGATAAGAAGGAAGAAAATGGAGTCGAGAATGACGATGAAAACGGCGGTGATGATGATGGTATCGGTTGTGGTATCAATGTTGTCGGTTGTGATGACGATGATGATGGTGATGAAGATGATCACGATCACGATGACAAGGAAGAGGAGAAGAGGGATGAGATTTATTATTGTAGAATGTTACATGAAATAGCGTGGATGTGCTATGATCATGATGATAATATAATTGATTCCATAATGAAATATAAGTATAAGAAACGAACAATTAAAGTACTAATTTGGCAAGAGTAAATAGAGGGGAAATCAAAATGTGTGAACATTTGAGAGAAAAAATAAGCCTCAAAGAACAAATATTATAAAATGTCAAATATTACGGAAGAATCTTCGTCAAAAGTACAATCAGATATGTTTTTTTGCAAATCGTAAATCTCAAACAATGCATAGCTCTGTATATATATCAGAAATAAATAAATAAATAAAATAAATAACCCAAGACTTTCATGCCATACCTCTAATGCCCTAGGTTAAGACATGCAATACACTGGAAGGAAGTTAGACCTACCCTCTCCCCTCGCGTTCGGTCTCTTCATTCTCTCACATGTCACCTGATAATGAGAAGAAGGAGAATAACAAGAGAGAAGAAGGAGAAGGAGGAGGAGGAGGAGCGAGGGAATGGAGGGGTGATGAGATGAAGGAGAAGAACGAGAGAGAAGAAGAAGGAGGAGGAGCGAGGGAATAAATGGGGCGATGAGATGAAGGAGAAGAACGAGAGAGAAGAAGAAGGAGAATGAGGAGGGTATTGAGAAGAAAGAGAAGAACGAGAGAGACGAAGAAGGAGAATGAGGAGGTGGAGGAGCGAGGGAATAGATGGGGCGATGAGAAGAAGGAGAAGAACAAGAGAGAAGAAGAAGGAGAACGAGGTGGGTGATGAGAAGAAGGAGAAGAATGAGGGCGAAGAAGATGAAGGAGGAGCAAGAGAATAGAGGGGGTGATGGGAAGAAGGAGAAGGACGAGCGAGAGAAGAGGAAGGAGGAGGAGCAAGAGAATAGAGGAGGTGATGGGAAGAAGGAGAAGAACGAGAAAGAAGAGGAAGGAGGAGGAGCAAGAGAATGAGGTGGGTGATGAGAAGAAGGAGAAGGACGAGCGAGAGGAGAGGAAGGAGGAGCAAGAGAATAGAGGAGGTGATGGGAAGAAGGAGAAGGACGAGCGAGAGAAGAGGAAGGAGGAGGAGCAAGAGAATAGAGGAGGTGATGGGAAGAAGGAGAAGGACGAGCGAGAGAAGAGGAGAGGAAGGAGGAGCAAGAGAATAGAGGAGGTGATGGGAAGAAGGAGAAGGACGAGCGAGAAAAGAGGAGAGGAAGGAGGAGCAAGAGAATGAGGTGGGTGATGAGAAGAAGGAGAAGGACGAGCGAGAGAAGAGGAAGGAGGAGCAAGAGAATAGAGGGGGTGATGGGAAGAAGGAGAAGGACGAGCGAGAAAAGAGGAAGGAGGAGCAAGAGAATAGATGGGATGATGAGAAGAAGGAGAAGGACGAGCGAGAGAAGAGGAAGGAGGAGCAAGAGAATAGAGGGGGTGATGGGAAGAAGGAGAAGGACGAGCGAGAAAAGAGGAAGGAGGAGCAAGAGAATAGATGGGGTGATGGGAAGAAGGAGAAGAACGAGCGAGAGAAGAGGAAGGAGGAGGAGCGAGGGAAAAGGAATGGGGGTGCAGCATACGACGAGGACGACGACTGCGATTAGGGTGACAATTATAAAGTCGATGATGATAACTCTCCATCGCCATGATAGATCTCTGTCTGAGAATGATGACGATGCTTTTCCTTAGTTTATCTTTCATGTTTCATATTGTGACTTCCTATTTGTAATAATTTGTAGAAGTGTTGTGGATAAGTCACCGGACTGTAGATCACAAGTTACGGCGTTCAATTCCCATCCCGGCGCTATTAAATGTCATATGGCAAGACATTAATCCATTGCCTTCTGGAACATGGTGGCCCCTGTATTAAACCTATGAGAAAAAGCGAATTCAGCAGTAAACGGGTTAACATTGGCCAACTCTCCATCGACCAAGGTGCCCGGTTAGATAAGAAAGTTATTCCATTTTGCTCCGCATTGTGAGCGTATTTTAAAACGGCGCATGGCTGGAATGCTCCCCATGGAGTGGAGGATGTGCATACAGTATGTGCGGGCGGGCAAGCCTGAATATGATGACCAGGGGCCCGTCTCCTTTTTCCCCCAGCCTCTCATAGAGAGTTGATATCGATCGCAAATATGTACATAAGAGATTGCAAACTTGCGATTGATTGGCGGACTTACGACTGATTTGGATCAATCGTAACTCTTTATAAGGCGGGGCCCGGGCTAATGATATACATGTATCTGTAAAGCGAAAAAAGATATTGTCGACGTACTAATTGCTATATAAACTCATAATATTATTACTCTCATTCTCATTATTCATTATCATTATACAGCCGGATAATGATATGATTGCAGGGCCTTCAGGGAGAACAGTATACTGATGAGGCTACCCTGGGTAAACAAGACATATTATTATTATTATTATTATTATTATTATCATCATCATCATCATCATTATCGTTATCGTTATCATTATAATTATTATTATCATTATCATTATTATCATCATTATAAAACACAATATACCTTAGGTCGGTTGCTATATCTCTTCGACCCATGGATCCAAAGTAATAATATACTAACAAAATAATACTTTTAAATTTTAGAAAGACATCACAAACTATTTTTAGGTGGGATAAGCTGCTGTTAATGCTATTGTATTTCATTAGGAGTAAACTCCTAGGAGTTTCATTAGGAGTAAACTCAACAGTTTCATTAGGAGTAAACTCAACAGTTTAAAGGGATTGGATATCCTTGTCTCAGATTCTAAACAAAATCCTGGATTTAGCTCAATCATAATTATAAACCTTTAGGTCAGTCAGGAATCCCATGACTTTTACAAGCCGATCGCCCGTCTGATTATCAAGATATTTATGATTGGAGATCGAAATTTCAAAAACCGTTTTCCCAACAGTTTTTATAACACTACAGTCTATAGGGGAAAATGAGTAGGGTAAAACCGGTCACTCAAAGATTTTAACTTTTTTTGAGGCACTTCATGATTAATTTGAAGCGCAATATTTTTATGCTTCATTCCTTCAATATCAACCCGTATCACAGACACTGATAACACGTATATAACACCATGCATCTCAGATTTGTAAAACTGGAAACATTGTTAAACAATGCTTTTAACAGAACCTTCTTAATAAAACATCTTTGATTATAATGAATGAAAGAAACATTGACGTCAGTGACAGAAGTTTATCTCTTGTTAGACAAACAGAAAGACAACGCTGTGCATCATATGTATCTCCTTTTATCAAGCAAGCATACAAACCATCTACAAAGAGGACGGAGTGGTGGGGAGGGGAAGGGGGCAGAAACCTTTGCACACCAGCTAACACACAGAAGGCAGTCACGATTTATGTGTTTATTCAAAGAGATTTCAGGTACTCTCTTTATCACGAATAATGACGAGACCTTTGTTCGCTCAATTGTCCGTTATCTCTCTCTTCTTAAGGGAGAAGGCAAATACTCATCTGGAGCTTCTTCAAGCTAATATTTAGTAAGAATTGAAGCACCCCAAGAACAGTTGTCGTCATGTGAAGTCACGGAGCATGCAGGCAATAGCTAAGCCCTCATTTAAAAAAAAAAGAACATCAACAAAAAATGAGAAGAAACATGTTCCGTGAAACAAAGAATATTGGATATGATTAAACATTTGTCGTAACATTTGTTTCGCAGACTCGACTTGATAACCAAGCTATATTTAGCGCGCCATTTGTAAGTTGTTTGCATGTCTGCCACGCATTAACTGGTGGTTGATTTTGCTTGATGTTTTTCACTTTTCATTTTATCATGATTATTCTGTCGGTACATTATATAGCGCACAGAAAGACAATATAGAGAGCATTAAGAACAGTACCGCTTGCTAAATTTAATTCTTAATTCTTGTATTAGAGGACTGATTCATGATTTGAAAGGAGCATTTGGGATTTTTTTCTTTTCTCTTTTGATATCTACATTTATTTAGAAGAAGAAAAAAATCCGCCATATGGAACTTCAGAAACATGAAGGGAATCGCATTATTATTGCCATGGTTCTCCAAGTTGATCCTAATTCAGAAGTTGTTCAAATGATTTATTTCATGATGTTTTGACGTTCGTGACAACAGACTGGTATCCACCAAACAGCTTATTATTCCAAATCGACATTATTACAACTTTACTTTAAATATCTCTGTATTTAATTTTAATTTCGCTCTCTCTCTCACACACACACACACTCTCTCTCTCTCTCTCTCTCTCTCTCTCTCTCTCTCTCTCTCTCTCTCTCTCTCTCTCTCTCCCTTCCTTTCTTTTCCCCCTCTAATTTATTTATTGCACCTAAAAGTGCAAGAGCTTTCATGGTATAAGTGTAAAATACGAACATCGACCGCAGGGGCAGGATCCTAAACGACGTTGAAGACACGGATCATAGTCCATCTTCCTTTTATTCTTTTTTTCCAAGAGAAGAAACTGATGAGAATCCAAACATATGTCTTATCTCTCATAAGAGCAAAGTTTATCTTTCGATGCCACGAACAAAAGAAGAAGAAGTGTGGATATTAAAGGAGGAAAATTGGCGTTGGAAATAATCGCTTCAAGATTGCGCAAAATTAAAATAACATTAGCACCCCGTTGAAGAATTGTGTAAACAGGCTGGCACACTTAACCAATATTGATCGCGGACAAGTTCTCTTTACGTTGGCCTCTCGTTTCGTAATCAGAAATTAAACAATTTGAGAAACAGGTTAGGGCGAGTTTGGGGTATAGGGTTTATAGGGCGGTGGGAGGATAAGATTGATAATTAAAGATTTCGTGCCTACTTCTCGGAATCTTTCGGATTGGCACCCCCGGTGTTTGTATGCCAAGTCCTGTTGAGGGTTCGATAAGAGAATATGCAAGGAGAGGTTGGGGTGGGGGGGGGGGGGGAGTATTCCATCATACTGAATTTTGTGAAGGATAAAAGTTACTGATGTTATTTTGAAAAAGGTGCATTTATTCTCAAAAGAAATAGACAAAATCAGGCAAAAACGATCAATTCAGTTCAATTCAATTTTCATATTAATATATTATGTCATCATTCTTTTGTTAATTGATGGGTATGACGTGAACTGTTGCATCGTCCACACCCCCCCCCCCACCCCCTATCTCAATTTGTCTATCTTTCCCCATCTTTCTCTCTCCCTCTCTTTCTCTTTCTTTCATTCACCTCTCCACGTTAGGCATAATTTCTTTAGCGGCGACTGTCTCTTTCCAAACATCAACTTTCATAGTCAACAACTTGGCGAGCAAGCGAAACGGACGAGCTAAGAGTTGAGACTTTTTCTTTCATGTTAACGTGGAAGTGGGCTGCGGATGCTGTACTGTGTCATTCCATGCAATTCAGTTATGGGCGATTCGTTTTGGAATATATTGCGATTTTTGTTGTTGTTGAAATATTTAAGGAAAGATATGGAAAATTTAAAAACGAAACAATATGAAGTTTGTAAACAATTATTGGATGAGCTGCAGCCCTCTCCTTCTTAGCCCCCTTCGCCCTGCCTCATATGACTAGTACGCCTTCCATCTGGTCACTTCCAATTTTAGCCGATTCAGTTTGCAAGTACTTGTATACCGGCTTTGTACGTGTGTAGAAAGCTTCCCACCGTGTGTACCTAGATAGCGAGAAACGTCCTCTCTCGATCAAAATAATGTAGTATTATGAGGATGACTATAATCGTCGCTTAAAAAAAGCAGCTTGGTTTGTATTTTTTGTTTATGATTATTCCTTTATTTCATTTTGTTTTGTTTTGTTTCTTTCTTTCTTTTTATTAAAGATATGTTTTAAAAATCTGACTTTCTATCAATAACCCTTTGCATATGTCAATTATAACAAAATAACATTTGTGGCGAATATTTAGTAATCATTTCAGCGACTCCCTCCAAAGCTACATGAATTTGACCATTCACATAATCTTGAGATCAAGAGATGAAGTAACATTTTAAAAAGCGGAAAAATAACTCTAAATGAAAATTAGAATTTCATTTCATTTTATTTATCATCATCCCAACAGCAAAGACAATCGCCATTGTCGACTTAAACCTTCACCATCGTCATCAGCATCATTGCCGTCGCCTTCATCGTTATCATATTTTTCATTGTCATCAGCATCATCATCAACATCATTATCATTATAATTTCATCATTATCAGTACCATTATCCTCATCATCATGATTATCATCATCATTATCATTATAATTTTCATCATTATCAGTATTGTTAGCATTATCATCATCATTATCATCGTCATCAGTATTATCCCCATACTCCTCTTCTTCTTCCTCCTCCCCCTCTTCCTCCTCCTCTTCATCCTCTTCCTCCTCCACTTACTCCTCCACCTCCTCTTCCTCCTCCTCTTCCTCCTCCTCCTCCTCCTCCTTCTCCTCCTCTTCCTCCTCCTCTTCCTCCTCCTCCTCTTCCTCCTCCTCCTCTTCCTCCTCCTCTTCCTCCTCCTCCTCTTCCTCCTCCTCTTCCTCCTCCTCCTCCTCTTCCTCCTCCTCCTCCTCCTCCTCCTCCTCCTCCTCCTCCTCCTTTCATCCTCTTCCTCCTCCACTTACTCCTCCACCTCCTC